ATGCTTCACAGTTAGGATTTCAAGCGAAATGGGAAAATCGTTTCGCGAGAAACAAAAAATGCGAAAACTTGCGTTTTTTCGAAAATTTTCGCAAAAAAGTTTGCAAAATATGAAAGCAAATTTTTGTTCGTTGGAAATCCTATTCACTGCAGTTCTCCAAACAAAAATCTTCCTCGGTTCCTAAATCGACTTTAAGACTCAAGTTATGACGTGAAAAAGTCCTGCGTAAACAGGTCCATTTCTCCTAATAGGTGATTTAATAACTTACTAATAAAATAATAATAATTGCATTTGTTTTCATTAACTTAATTTACCCCTCGTCAGACTTTTTTATTTGATTCCAATATTAAGTATTCTTCCTTATAGTTAAAAGAATATGAATAAGGCTTGATTTTCTTATATGGATTGTGTATGCTCTCCTCAATTTCAATTAAACAAGGCATTTAATTGATAAGAATCACTGTCAAAACATTTGTGAATAAAAGTTTTAAAGGTTAGTAATTGGTTAAAATATGTTTCAAGATCTAACGTAATTAAACTTAAAATTGATCATTTTTAAGACATCGAATTGATCCTATGCAATTATGAATTTAAATTTCCGATTGACAGTTGAAAGTTTCAAGTGACCCTCAATATATAGAAGGCTTATAATAAGGAAATGGCCGATTTACAACATTACTATTAAAATCTTAGTCTGATTTTCGGCTCAGAGAAACAAATGAGAAATCATCAGAACTTTCCGAGTAGGATAAATTACGCTGTATTCTACATATTTGATTAAATTAAGGTTTCACAGGAACCATTTTAATTCATTTGTAACTTCGCCATCTTTGCAAAAAAGGGTCAATTAAAATTACGTTTACAGTCCCTTTCAGCAAGTATAGAGGATTTCTTCTTCAAATGTCAGGGTTTTTAACGTATTAGTATTAATACCACTTTCAGAATCTTGAAGTGGATCCTAATTTACCCAAAATATACGCGAACATTAACCAAAACTTTTAGGGGTTGCAAATAGTCTAATTGATTTGCAACATTATCCTCAGCATTTGCAAGCTAAAATTACAACAAAAAATTATGTAATTATTACTTCATGAAAAACCCTGCAGGTATACAACACAAAAAAAGTGCAAAACGCCTGAACAATTAGCACAAAAAACACACATTGTGCCAAAACAAATAAATGTGCAAAACGAAATACTAAAGGTCGATTTAATGTAAATTAAATATAAAAATAAAATAACAAAATAATATCACAATTCTTCTTTGGGTTCCGAATCACCGTTTTCCTCATCTAAAAAAAAATAAAATAAAAAGTAAAATAAAAAAAAATTTCAAATAATTTATTTAAACTTTATTTGAACTATCATTACAAATTTTACAAAATTGTATCACCCAAATGTTGGTGAAAAAGGATAACACGCGAAACTGGTTATAATTACACAAAAAAAAAACATTTTATTTACAGCACTGTGACTAGATTTAAGTAGGTTGTGGTTCAACTGAGAATTTAACAAATTCAAAATAATACTTTAGGTTTATCCAAAAAGCCACAAAAAGATAAGAATATCTTTTTAGATTTAAATTGACTTTTATCAAGAAAAGCGTGATGAAAACAATATCTGCTACGATGGATAAGCGTTAAAAAATGACGTTACCTAGTCATGGTCCAAAATTAATTTATTGAAGAGAATATTCATAAATTTCCAAAGAGTGTATAGGACTGAATTTAATCCCATGTTTATTGTTTATAATTCAGAGTATTTTTAAAACTCCTCAGCAATGGACAATGGCAGACTGAAATTGTTAGGGTTAACTTTTACTTTTAATGTATTTAAACTGCCTACCGCCGATTTAAATCCATTCTCAACGGACCTTTTACTTGGAATTGGTGGCTCAAGTTTGAACCGGCATTTTTCAGTTCAGCGACGTAGCTCAATTTTATTAAATTCGGTCTCTGACCATCTGCTCCATACACTCTTATTAAATTCATGGTCAGACCCTTAATTATTCGGAGGAAAATCGAATTATTGAATAATGGAAGGTTGAAGATCTCCATTCATATCATTGTTGGCCAGGTAGTACTCTGTAAACCCTATATACATAGAGACAAGAGCCCCGACTACGCTAGCGAGAACCCAGGACCGATGGAAGATGATGGCTGTGGCGACAACCAGGCCAACATAGGTGAAGTACCTGGTGTTATCTATACTAAAGAACCTACCAGGGATCTTGTCCTTAACACAGACAGTGTCCTTCAGGGTAAATCCTTCAGCACAGGCTGCGCAGTTGTCCGGTCCGTCCCCGTCACACCCGTCACATGACTAGCAAACAAATATTAACAATCATTGAAAATAAAAGTGCAGGTATTTTTGAAAACTGACTCCTACAGGCTCACAAGAGGAAACGTCATAGATTTATGAAAGAGCTTAATTGAAATGTTAAAATTTATGAAATAGCTTAATTGAAATGTTAAAATTTAAAATATCATCAAATTTCCATGAAAATACCTCACGACAGAACCTAATTTTTTATTTTTGTTCTCTCCTTTGTTTATTTGAGTTGCTTTGTTTGTATTATTTTTTAAAATTTTTCTTATATCTGTTATATTATAGGACGAACTCCTGATGATGCTAAAGTTTTTGGCGAAATATATTGAGAAGAAAATTATATAATTCTAGTGCTAGAGAGTAGGGTTGGGATTTGTTTAAAAACGATCTAAAGGAACCTAATTATATCCAAAAACCAAATTAATTGTTCTCACAAACATCCAAACAGAATAAAAAATAGAGCCAAGTGTAAGGTTTTCTTAAAGGTGATAATAAAATATTTACACTAGCTTTGTGCTTTCTAGAAAATTAACTTCCGTTAAATTATTCAGGAAAACTGAATCAAAAAAAATTAATTGATATTTAAGAAATTAAACACACCTCTCCCAAATAAGCAATTACTAAAATGGACCTCATATTTACAAAACCCGGATATGAACGAACTGTGTAATATGTATTGTTATTTAATCTTATTATCAAATTAATTCTATATTATAAAATAGAAAGATTTAAGGCTTTTTACTCCCTTATTTTTGGAATCCATTATATAGTTTAACCCTAATATGGAATCCCCCCCTCCGAAATATTCCCTAGCTCGTCTACTAACCTTATCACACTTTAAACATCTGAAAGTTCCTTCAGTGTTAACACAGAACTTATCCTTGGTACATGGTCTGCTGATTATACACTCATCTATATCCTAAATATATATCCTTGGTTCATGGGCTGCTGATTATACACTCATCTATATCCTAAATATATATCCTTGGTACATGGTCTGCTGATTATACACTCATCTATATCCTAAATATATATCCTTGGTTCATGGTCTGCTGANGTTAATAAATTATTTTGAGGAAAGTAACATGATAATTGAGAGAAGTAGTGTGAATAAATGATTTTGAGGAAAGTGAGAAAATGATTTTGAGAAATAGTGTTAATAAATTATTTTGAGGAAAGTAACATGATAATTGAGAGAAGTAGTGTGAATAAATGATTTTGAGGAAAGTGAGAAAATGATTTTGAGAAATAGTGTTAATAAATTATTTTGAGGAAAGTAACATGATAATTGAGAGAAGTAGTGTGAATAAATGATTTTGAGGAAAGTGAGAAAATGATTTTGAGAAATAGTGTTAATAAATTATTTTGAGGAAAGTAACATGATAATTGAGAGAAGTAGTGTGAATAAATGATTTTGAGGAAAGTGAGAAAATGATTTTGAGAAATAGTGTTAATAAATTATTTTGAGGAAAGTAACATGATAATTGAGAGAAGTAGTGTGAATAAATGATTTTGAGGAAAGTGAGAAAATGATTTTGAGAAATAGTGTTAATAAATTATTTTGAGGAAAGTAACATGATAATTGAGAGAAGTAGTGTGAATAAATGATTTTGAGGAAAGTGAGAAAATGATTTTGAGAAATAGTGTTAATAAATTATTTTGAGGAAAGTAACATGATAATTGAGAGAAGTAGTGTGAATAAATGATTTTGAGGAAAGTGAGAAAATGATTTTGAGAAATAGTGTTAATAAATTATTTTGAGGAAAGTAACATGATAATTGAGAGAAGTAGTGTGAATAAATGATTTTGAGGAAAGTGAGAAAATGATTTTGAGAAATAGTGTTAGAAAATGATTTTGAGAGAAAACGTCTGAAAATGAACAATTCCAGGGGAATTTTTGAGAAATGATTTTGAATAAAAGATGTTTGTTTATCTCTGATAACTTACTGTGCATCCATGTTCAGTATCCATCTCATATCCTGCTGCACACTTGGCACAGGATTTAGGTCCAGGTCCAGTACAATGATCAGCACAGGCCTAGAATATTACAAGTATAAGTTTGAAAGAGTAGATGATAAGATAATGGTGAAAGATTAGAATTGTAACATAGCATACAGGACATGATACTTTGACTGTAGGCTGATTAATAACGATAATAATAATAATACCTATTCACACAAAATTTGACAAGGGTAAATAAGCTTTATTGAAAAGTACCCCCTCCCCCTCATTTAATACAGTTTTCTGTCCTTCCAAGACATAAATTTACATAAATTCCTGAACTTTGCTCTGCCGCACACACTCGTAAGTAAATTTTTATAAGAAGGATAACTACATATTTTTTGGAAGACAAAAGTTAAAGGTTACAACGGTGAATCAATCTCGCCATGAACTCGTTAAATGAAGGATTACTAGAAATTATCCTTCAAAAAGATAAATATGCTTGATATATTGATAAAAACTGACCTTGTGACAAGCGGAACATATTTCAGTGTTCTCGTCCTTGTAGGAACTATAATGACCTATGGAACACTTGTCACAATGTGTTCCAAAATATTCCTTATCACAGGAACACTGACCGTTCCCTTTCCGTGTACCAGAACCTGCGAAGAAGAAGGTAAGAAAATTACAGGATGCATCACCAGCAAGAAGTTATTAAAACTGCACTTTTCTCAATTGAACGTAAAACATAACAAATTGAGTAATGAAAGCTGGCTGAACAAAACAGTTTTAATAATAAATAGTACAAAGCTTGCAAACAGTATCATGGCTCTAATTGGCTCTATCTTGGCAAACCCCTCCAATCACAAGATGAAATTTAACCAAATATCGTGCTACAATTAAGAAGTATTATTACATTGTAATCAAGAAAATATTATATTGCAATTCAGAAAATATGGTTATATTGCAATTTAGAAAATATAATTATATGGCAATTCAGAAAATTTGTAATATTGCAATGAAAATATTATTATATTAGAAAACAAAAAACACTAGACTTGGACCACGAAACTCCATTTCTGAAAACCACCTCTGAATAACTAAACTATGCTCATGCTAAAAGTCTTGTATGGCACCTGTTTTTTTTGGCAAACCCTGTCAATCATAAGATTCGATATCCAGAGAAAAGAGTATTAGTATTAAATTATAAACTTGTAAATTGTAATTGTAAAATTGTAAACTATTGTTTAATGTAATTTTGCTTTAGACAAATATAAATAAGGAATATATTGTAATTCAGAAAATAAATTATTATATTGCAATCTAGAAAATTTTATTATTTTGCAATTCAGAAAATATTATTATATTGCAATTTAGAAAATACTATTAAATTGCAATTAAGAAAAACATTTATTTTGCATTTCAGAAAACATTATTATATTGCAGAAATAAAGAAAACATTTAAAGAAGAATAAAATCATTCTTTAAACTTTAAAGGAGTCTTTTCTGAAAATAAAAAAATACTTTTTATCAAAAAGCGCAAACAAAAGTTTATGTACTGGCGCATCGCAACAGTATCGAGTTTTTGCCACAAACTCTTGATCAAATAATCTAAGGTTTAAGTATAAAATGTTTACATCAGGTTGCACAAACGAAGGAATTAGAAAATCAGATTTTGTGATAAAAGCTCAATTCCTTTGTTATGTTCTTTTATGTCACAACACATAACTATTGGGCGCAAAACCCCCTGCTCTCCACCTTACCTTTACATTTTCCATTTCCGGAGCAAATTTTCCCGTTTGAACCGACCACGGAACATTTATCGCAGTTTTGACCAAAATGATCGATAGGGCAACAAACCTGGAGAACACATTAAAAAATTCTATATATATAAAAAAAATCAAAAGCTACAGAAATCCTTTTAAAGAAATTGAGTCTTTGCCACAAACTCAAATTTTCTAACCTTTATATCTTTGCAACAATGAATAAACCTTTGATATTTCAAACTTGGATTTTTTATTTAGCAGAAATCATAGTTTGAATTATAAATGGTCTACGACATTGGTTTGCAAAGAAATACGGATTAGAAAATCAGATTTTGTTGCAAAGACTCAAATCCTTTCGTTGTAAAAATGTCGAACTTTAAAGACAATGTTTCAAATATGTTTCCTTGACGGTGTCTACACAGAGGAACTGACGAAGGGTCGGTTTACTCTCTTCATCCTAGGAATAAATTTTGTAAATTTAGAAATATGTAATTTTTAAATTACAGATAGTTTCAAGATTAAAAATAAAATTTTCCAAAACATATTTTTAAAACTCCAGGGAGTGGGGGAATAAAATTCGCAAAGGAACAGGAAAAAAATAGTTAGTTTTCCTCTCCCCTAATAAATTCCTTTATACGTATTTGTTTAGATTATTGTTAAGGCAACCCACTTGGCTGAATTAAAGATTCAATTTACTTTGCAGTAAAAAATATTAAGAAAATGTCCGAGACATTGGGTTTGTTTTTGTTTACCATTTTCCACCAGGTTTCAAGGTGTTCCTCCCAATCATTATGCAACGCGTGACACTGTGTCTCTCCTCTCTCCACATCCTGATCACATAAAACATTTCAGTTCAAATAAAAAAGAATAAAAATGGCTGGTTAGCCGAGTCAAGATAAAATCAATACCTCCCTCAATCACAAAGTAAAAGAATTCATACTGTAACCAAATATATAGTGAAGGGAATTTGAGTTAAATTAGTTTTTTTTGGCTATAAATGTGCTCTTAGAGGATAAAAGATATTTGACAAACAACTCGAACCTCTAAAAGATGACTAACAAGACGTATCAGACAACTTTTTAAATGTGAGTGAGTTAAGAATATGAGGAAAACTTTCAAATTCTGATCAGTGACTGCTTGGCAAGGATTTATCATTAGAACATTAGATGTTGATAATGGATCACTTCTATGAAAAATTATTCTGTGCATAGATTTTTTGGGCAAATTGTGATCAAGGGGTAATTTTTTTTTATTAATATACATTTTTTAACCCTTGTGTTCAAGAAAACTTCAAAGGTTTTAAGTTTTTTATTGAATGTATTTTTCCTTGCAAAGATCTTCTCCAATTTCAATTAATCGAACTTCGCTGGTTGCATATCTGAAATATTTTAAAGTTTAAAAAAATGAAAACATTTGGTGAAAATGTGTCGTGGTTTAAAGTAGGTAGAAAGAACACAATATCAGTTTTTGTTGCCGCAATCAAGGTAATATTAAAATAAACTTTTTTATGAAAGATACAAAATTTGGTGTACCACATCATATTAGATCGTATTTTGGCGTTAAAGCTTGGAGATAATCCAATATGATATGGGACGCTCTGTATAAAATGAACTGTGAAGATACACTTGCATTGTCAAGAATGTAAAACCAAAAAGCAAAATTATTTTTAAAAAAATGTTCACATACCTCGGTTGAGTTTTCTCCTCCCAGGCGGTATCCCCACCTTCGAACTTTCCTCGTTTTGTTCGTTCAAGTCCCTGAACATCGAAATCATGGATATATAATAGATGGATATATCAGAGTCAAGGTTTGATGTTATTTTTTCGCTGGGGTGTTATGCAGTACGTTAGACATTGGACCCTGGAACTTACAATTTGTCTCTGGTTTTCGTAAAGTTAATATGTTGTCAAAGGAGTACAGAAAAACATTGTTAATCTTTAAAACTTGAAAATGTTTAGTCTCCTCTTTGTATTATAAAAATTGTTTGAGATCCTAAAGATTTAAACAACCTTGCTGATATCTAATATTTTGAATTTTAAACAAATTTCTCAATATCTAGGTCAATTCTTAGGGTACAAAAACGGCAGACCACATTTTGGAATTCTGATGCTACCAACTCTTTGAAGAAAATGCCATGATCACAAGATTTTAGCTACAGTATCTCATTTCTGCTTACTCCAGGGCCCACTATCTACCATAGTTCTTCTCTAATTTGGACCTTGAACTTCACTTCAAACTTTTTTAGAAGTACAAATTATTTTTATAGAATGAACAATAGCCAGAATAAAAATTTGTTATAGTAAAACCTAAAATTTGCTATGCAGAGGTTTTAAAATTTTCTAAAAATATCTAGGGTCCACTGAGATACAACAGCTGCGTAGCCCACCGACAAAGTTACATGTACACTAGCCCAGAATAGTATAGATCGGTAGATAGAAGCGGGCCGTGATCGAAATTTATTTAACGTCAAAAGAATGAAACAAACTTTCGAGCGTCAAGTCTTTAAACCAGTAAAATATATTCAAAGAAATTATATGACAAAAAGTTGAACAAAAATAATGTTTTTCTTTTATTTTGAGGGATATTGTATTAATTGTGTTGCACTATTTGAGTGATATTTAATAGGATCCGGATCCATTGGATCCGCAAAAATATGCGGATCCACGGATCCGGATCCAAGGGGTAAAATTTCCACCAAAAACTGCAAAAAAAACTTTTTTACTCTTAAAACCCAAATCTGAACTTTTGAAAAAAAGAAAGATTATAAAATTTCCTCATTTCTGGATGGTTCATCAAGATTTAGGATAAAAATAAGCGAAAAAAATAAAACAAAAAATTTGAAAATTATGGTTAAAAAAATTCAGTAAATCTTAAAGAAATGACCTGGATCCGGATCCATATTTTTCCCTGAGGATCCAGGATCCGGATCCGCATCAAAATGAAATGGATCCTTTAAGCACTGTTTATTGTATATAGTTTATTTTCATAAATATCGACCAAATGTTCACTAGAATACTAATTACATGTTTCTATAACAGTTCTCAAGCTAATTAACAGACGAGTCAAATTTTTAGCATAATAGTTCTTTTTCTTTCACCATTATAGGTTTTTATTCATATTTAAGAGGTTAAAGATATAAAGAAAAAAGGACAAATAAAACACTAGACAGTTATTTTTTTTTCATACAAAATTTTTTACGATAGAAGTTTTATTTTACTAAGAATTACCTTTTCAAATGATGCAACTAGGTTTGTACAGGATCCACACGGTGGTAATCTGTAGAATGACAACAAAACATAACATTTACAACGAAAACTTAAATTTTTATCTATATATATATATATAACTAGCTTGGGAATCCAGTGCTGCCAAGGTTACTAAAATATATATATATATATGTTGTAATCTCTGTTTGGGTGTCTGTATGTTTGTTTGTTTGTCCGATCAGAGGATTTTTCTTCGCTTTAATTAAGTTTCCCGGTGAAAATCGACCAGGTGCGGGTAAATTGCGGGAGTAACAATGAGTAACCTGGGCAACGCTGGGTTTCCAGGCTAGTAGAATATAAGTTTCAATATTAGTGTGAGGACTAGTTTAGCATGGTGATATATTTCTTGAAAAAAAATTCCCGTTATTTTTCACCCAAAATCTTCCAAAAGTTACCCCCCCCCCCTTAAGCAAAGAATATGGAAATAAAATAAAAATGAAAATATAAAATAAACTAACTTTGCACTTTTCTTTTTATCCAGTTCTGTATCAGCAGTCACAGAGTAAACCAGGCCCAAGCAGATAAACCCGCGCAATATTAACATCCTAAATATAAAAATGAGATTTAAAGATATTAGTAGATTATTTGGAGAAAATTTGTATTTTCTGCGACAGCCCACAACGCTTCGCCCCAAAAATTTTCTAATAAAAGATTTTTTCAAGAAGTCGCGACTGTTTAGCAGTGCATGGCCGCAGCGCTCGGCACAGAACTTTATTTTTATACCTGAAGCTTACATAATAGGTTTTTTAAAAGTAAGAAAATTTTTAGGTTTTAGGTACTTTCCCAAAGACATTTTCCCAGGTGGCAACTTCCTAAATGTTCAATTTTCCAAATTTGGGTTAGGCCTTCTGAGGCACCGCAAGCTGCAATGGGTATGGGGGGGGCGACAGGCGCGTAGTGAAGTTTTAGCCTAGGGGGTGCACTTTAGTTGCGCGCAAGCGCGCCGAAATTTTTTTGTGTGCACCCCCCTTACGGTTGATGTGCACCCATCTAACAAACCGGTATTAAGAAAAAAATAAAGTTTAAAATCTATATTAATCTACTTGAAGGCTATTAGCCATCTGACCATAATTCTGAGTAACTGAAATGTATTTTAAATGAAACCCCACGAAAAAAAATATAATAAATAAGATTAAGGTACAAGAAAGATTTTGAGAAATTATCATAAAATGAACTAATTGTGACATTGTCGGTTAATAAGAAAATAACCTAAAAATAATTAAAGCTAAAAAACTTTTAACTGTAGAGACTATATAGATAATGATAAACAGGGTGTACCGAGTGTACCACGAAACATTTGAAAAAAAACGGTAATGTTACATCGTCCATATGCAACATCCCCCCATACTCAACTCTGACCTACTAATTATAATTCCGAACTCACCTACCTACCTATCCTACCTGCTGTTTATTTTTGTACTATTTCAATATTTGAGGGTTAAGTTAGTTATAGGAGCTAAGACAATTTCTGGGCCGAGCGCGCGCTTGATAGGACAGACTAGGGGCCGAGCGCCGCAGCTAGGACTGCAGGCTAGCTAGGGTTAAGAGTAGGTTGAGCCGACTGAATGTCTCTTAAATAATCCAAAGATTAAGGACGACTTTTAAAACGTCTTGCTTTTGTCATACGTTTCATGGGACACCCTGTTCGATCTTTCAAGCAGCTGCCCGTGACCGGAATTTTTTGTAGAAAGGTATGTGATGAATATATCCAGCATCTTGATTTGTGAAGAACGAGTTTTCAGTCTTTTATTTAGAACCATTTAGAACGCTATAGCGTTTTATAAAACGCTTTATAGCTGTATCCATTAGCAATTGAACCTGCAGCATATGGTGACCGATTTAATCAATTGAAGCTTCGTCAATGACTTTACATACAGTGAAACCCATATCGAATACATCGAAAGAATTCATCAAATGTCGTATTTTTCACTTTCTGATAATGAATGGTTGCAGATATTTAGTTTTTAATTAAATGATTATGGAACTCTTTAAAACTGTTCCCGCATATTCATGGCTATTTATTTATTTTCGCAAATACTGAAATTTACGTAATATAGTATAAAACTCATTAAAAAATTGTCAAGACGACATTTGATAAATTCTTCCGATGTATTCGTTATTAAGGGTTTCACTGTATATATAACTGCCGGTTAAAAGAACCATGCGGTTTAAAGATAAAAATTAAGGATTTGAATCGATGATTCTAATTCTGTTCAACTTGAAATTCATTAAATTCGGTCCTTGATATTTTATTTAATAACACTGCACTCGTTAAACTACCATACCTATAGCTAATCACTCCCTTTAAAGGGAAAGTGCAACAAAGAAATGTTGTCGTGCTCTGCGCGCCTGTAAGAATGCTCCTGAGATAAATTCCAAGTGACTTCTACGCTATTTCTTTCGAACCTTAAAATTGTAAGTATAAAGCCCCCCCCCCCCTCCTCCTTCAACCAACATTTTCAGATAATTTTAGATCGTCTTATACATGGGAGTTCTGTACAAAGAGCTTGAGACTGAGGGGATGATGTACCCCTAGGGTTTCCTGTTGACATGATGGGGTATAATTATTTCAAAGAAAGCTTCAAATTACTTCCTTGTCGTGCCACTCAGTGCCAGTTAACAGAATTAGAAATATGTTCTAAAACAATTTTAAACAACTCCTTCACTTAACAGCTTAATCCTATTCTTAATTATCCCCCCCC